ACAGAAAAAAAGCGACATAATGTTCAGAAACGACCAAACTACAGGTTCATCAACTATCAGTTCTCAAACTAAAAAAATCGTACTTTTATTTTGGTCTAGAAATTTTTCAATCAGGCTAAAAGACGCTTGCTCTTATAAAAACTTTTATTTTTAAACAAGCAGTACCCTAAATAACACAACTATACAACGTTTGTGTTGAATAACGTTTTAATCACATCATCATTTCAAACATTTCTCATCATTATTTTGACAAATTCAATAAATATCAAAGCTTTATAAGAAATTGTGCATTTAGTAGATAAACTTTCCCATAACGGTTTGTCCAACAGCGACGATAGAGGACCAAAGATGATCAATTTCGATCAAACTGCTGTCAAAACCTAATAGCCCTAGGCTGTGATAGGCACTTGCTATTAACGTCCTAATGGATAAATGTTTACGTTAATTGATACGTCAAGAGAACGTGTTTTTATAGAAATTATAAACGTTTAAAAATGTAAAAAAATATTCAAACTGCTAGAAATTATAAGATTTAAAGGACCAGCATGCCTTTTCCTTACCCTAAAGTTAGTATTTTTTATCTACTATAATTATTAGAGCTTAGTTTAGAAACAGAGAAGGAAAAGGCTTATTTATATTAAGGAAGAAAAATAAATTCAAAACGATTCAAATTGTAGTCACCGTTTGAATTTGACAACTTTGTTCCGACTTGAGTCAAATATTTTTCAGCAAGGTCAGTTGGTTACATATTTAAATTTAACTGTCTAGGAAATTATCAGGGAGAGACAATCCTTTTTTCTGTCTTTTAATTTTTTCATTTTTGTTTCGATTCAGAAGGAACGCTCAACAATTTGATGCAGCACTTCACCTTCAGTATCAAGAAGCAAGTTTCCATAGTAATTCCACACTACATACGTAGTGCCTGACCCGACCATAACAAGATAGCATGGCGTATAACTATAAGCAGAGCGACGAATTTGGTTTCTCAGCAATATCTGAATCAATTTTAATATTTGAAGTAAAGTATTTTTATAAGCATTTCACTTGACAGTTGAGTGTGTTCGTTTTAAAAATTGTCCTATTGAGCGAGTATCAAAATTTTGCTTTTGTTAAACGCCTGCATTCAGCAACAACTACTGTATTCTACTGTAATAGTAGTTGAATAAAGAATATTTAATCCATGATTTAATCATTTAATTGAGAGGTTTTTTTTGGCGATAGCACTCAGAAAAGAATAACAGTAACTTAAGGAAAACAAGAATGGCAGCTCATGCCTAAAAGAAATATACAAGAAAGGGAAAAAATGATAAACAATTCCAAGAGAACATGGAATCCAACTGAAATCTCCCAAAACAAACGTTGACTATGGCCAACCAGTAAGTTCATCAAACTGCCACGTCCACTTTAGTCATTTGACTGTTCTAATGATCAACGATGGAGAACAACAATTGACCTGAAGATGCTCTACAACAAAATAAATCAAAAATTGATATTATTGCAAAGAATCTACGATTTTTCTTCCCGAAAATCATAATTGATTTATGCTACACGTCTATTATGGTATAATTTTTTAAAATATTTTGTTTATAGTTAATTTCTTTTTCGTATCGTCTTATTGATGTCAATCTTGTTTATTTGGTTCAAACCCTGCCAAGGGCAAGGGTTTTTCTCTCTCTCTCCCCCTCTCCCTCTCCCTCTCCCTCTCTCTCTCCCTCTCTCTCTCCCTCTCTCTCTCTCTCACTCCCAAAAAACCATAACTCTCTCTCTCATATTCTTTCTTCTTTGACTTTCTTCAAATCTCTATTTGCCCCCTAATTGGTCCAAATGGAAAGGTAAAAAAGCTGGCCAATTGAAGTGTTGAAAAAAAAGGGCCCAGGTTGTTTAAAAGAATGGGAGAAAAGGGCGATTGCGTGTCGTCGACGGGGTTGCATAAAGGAACAAGGGTGAAATATGAAGGCAACCCGGGAGAAAGCCTTTCACGAGACAAGGAGCCATTTCTATTCACATGCAAACCAAAGTGTTTTCTTAATAGAAGGCCAAACAAGAGGACGCCCTAATAGTGTATACCGTCCATTGTCCTATTGTACTGCTCGAAGAGAAAATAACAATTAATTACCTGTTTCACTCCGGCAAACTGATTGAAAAAATCTATCTGGATCTAAAAAATCCGAGATGATCTTTTATCTTTAAAAAACTTGCGATTAAAAAAAACAACTCACAAGAGACAATGAAAAATGACTTTCAGAAAAACCTCTCACTTTTATCAGTTCAGAAAGAAAAAGAAAAGATAAAATAAACTTTGAAACTTGTAATATTTTATCATAACTGCTGATTGCTGAGAATTCCCTACTTTCAAGGCTAACTTCACCTTCTTATAACTCTTGATATCGTGCTATTTGGTCCGAGATTCTGTGCTGAATTAAGGCGTTTAACACAGGCAAAATTGAAGGAGTAAACGTTTTTTTATGCCTCTATTTATATCCAAAATATAATAATTAGGCGTTGTTGATCACTGAGAAAGCCCAGTACCAATGAATGGCTTACCCTGCTTATAACCCTGACGTCGCACTAACTCGTAATTCCTAACACACTTTTTAAAACAACACTCTACTAAGTGAAATGGTTTTATAAGTACTTTGCAACGATACCGAGTCTTCAAATTATAGAAATAGCATCACAATTTAAACAGACGTTGCTGATTACTGTAAATAACTGGATCTGATTACTGGAGATCCTAATGCTGCAATTAGGACATTAAAAAAAATAAAGGGCTAAGGGATGTCTCACCGAAAGTTTTGTCGATATGATTAAAAAATTTCTTCAATTGCCAGGATAAATACCCATAAAGTTCAAGTTTTTTTTGTTTGATTTTAAACATCAACAATACACAAGCTGACATTCTCCCGTATCGTTCCTGGTAGTCGTAGGCAAAAGGCGATTTGCCTCACCATGTTCTCCGCAAATCATAATTGGTTGAGACATTGTTGATTGCTGAGAGTACTAATTTTCTGACCTATCTGGTTACGGTTGTCTCACTAAACTAAGAAACCTCTCTACTACGACGTGAAATTTTTCTAGCGCTTAGAAACTGACAAAACGATGCATTCCATCAAGAGTGGCTTGGAGTTTTTAGAACGATCATAAATCCTTTAATCTCTAATTATTCAAATACTTGCTATTTTATTATGAAATTAGGATGGAATATGAAGTCAACTGCAGTTCTAGTATTCTTAAAGGTCAATAGCACAAGTAATCGGCGCATCGTTCTTCTTTGACACAGGCAAAATTCGCAGAAATGGAATAAGTTTTCTTTTGTCTCTTGCCTCTCACTGTTTATATAGTTATATCCATCGAAGCATCACGACATTGTCTAGTTAATGTAACATGAGAGTGATGCGTGATTTTTTTTTTCTTTTTTTAACGTAAAACCAAATTGACATGTTGGCTGAAACCTTGGTGAAAGGTTAGTTTTGCTTAAAGCGTTTTTTATGCACTCAATTTTTTCTCATAATATTTTCCATATTTTCAAATACCAGTTGAGTCGGGAGTTGCGACTTAGCGAATGAAGCCTTTCGACTAGTTCAACTTGATTTCGTGTAGCAATCTTGTTAAAAATTGTTCATTTGCAATAATTTTCTCTTTTATGGATCATGAATTTCGTAACTCATGGCAACATACAATAAACGGGAGAATATTTTTGTAATCTAGGCATTGTTAAAATGTAGATTAGCATCTTATTTTAATTATCTTATTGTTATGTGACAACGCGTCAGAAATATCACTGAGGCGAGCTGAGAACGGCTAATAGCTATAAATTAATCTATATCAAACAGAATACAAATTCTTTAAATGTAAGAAGTTTCACTTCAACAATTTGATCAAAATATTATCCGGAAGTTAAATTAAATTCTTCAAGTTATGAAAATCTATCATGCTTTCTCGTTCTCTCTTTAAACTACTCAAACTAAATCTGACTGGCGCGGCCAGGTAATGGAAATAATGGAATTTACCAGCGAAATGATGACATCTTATTAAACTTATGATAAAATGACGTTGGCAGCCGGATGCAATGAGCGCGTAAAACCGCAGATGCATTTACAATTCAGAATTCCGTAATTACCCACCATGCCTAAGGGTAAGCCACGAATACAACAACCACATGGTCCTCTGATTGTTACAGTCGGGATTACACTCGTTTCTGCTGATATTCGTTTCAAACAGTTCAACTGTTCGATGGAAAGATAAAAAGGATTTTTTCTATGATAAAACTTTGGTACACGGTAAAAAGTAGGCTTCCTGTACAGCCAAATTTACCTTATGAGCGGTAGTGGGTTGCGTTCGCCCCTACGTCCACATAAGTCATTTTGGGGGTTTAGATTTACTGTAAATCTTAATGTTTATGTGGTGTACATAAGATTATAAATTAATAAGAACCAAATTTATTATGTGTATGTAATTATGTCAATGTGCGTAAATTAACCAATAGTCAACTTTAAACATTGATATGTAGTCCATTACAGTTCGTGTTCCGATTGACTAATTAACATTTTTCAATTAATTAATATTTATGAAAGGTATTGGTTGAGATAAAAAAGTCAGCGTCACGAGCGGAATTCGAACCCACGACCTTCGGTTAAATACTTCCCATCTCAACCTCATCTCAGATTCGAGAGGTGAGGTTGAGATGGGAAGTTAGTGTCCGAGCGGATCGAAGTCACGATAGCTCAAGTGGTGGAGTAGTGGCGTATTTAGCCGAATGTCGTGGGTTCGAATCCCGCTCGTGACGCTGACTTTTTTATCTCAACCAATACCTTTCATAAGTACTAATTAATTGGAAAATTGATATGTAGTTTGGTCATCCCTGATCATTCTGATAAGTTTAATCTTGTCGCTATCCCATCATCAGCATGACCAAACTGCAGGCTAATCACTTCGCAGACCTCAAAAAAAACTGAATTGTCCAGATTAACTTTAATTTATTAATTAACTATTGCTTTCAGGTGGGTGAGGTAGGCATGTATGGAGGAGGTGGCTGCACTCTTCCTCGCCACTGGGGTGGCGTTCCACCGAGGCAACCCTATCAACCTCGAGGGGTGCCCGTCCTCCCGCCCCCGGAACCGTCAACTCACCCGGACTCCAACCCCCAGACGCCTCTCATGACGAACAAAAGGGAGAGCCAGGTCTGACTAATGACCAAGCTGTAAGCCACACCCGGCTTACACGGCGCCAAATCAAAGCAGCGCGCCATGGACGCGGACCGATACCAGCAAACCGCCCCCTTCGCCACAGATACGGCGTGTGATTAATTTTTTAAAGTCGACCCTTGCAATCGGCCCGGGGCCTATGATGTTTGTGTACAGTTATAGTTTTTCTCTTGAATGTTTTTTATCTTAACTTAGAATATATTTCGGATAATTTGAATTTCTTAAAGTACAGGGTTTTTTAAGAGATAATTTTCAAGATCTTCTCACATTCCCTTTAAGAGAAGCATTTTGTGATTGAATCATGCAAATAAATTCTCGGAATTTATTTGACTTCACAAATATCACAATGACTACACAAAATTGACGATGTAAAACATTGTGCTTTCAGTTTTGATATCATCCAAACAAATAAAAACACAATTATCAGTTAAACTTCCATGTTTCCTTGGACAAAAGTGAAAATGTGTTTAAACAAATTTTTTTATTTACATTTCTAATCTATGATTGAATCCACACATTTTGTACATAATGAAAAAAAAATCAAAATTGTAATTATAGAACAAGAGGCTCTTGGAACGTCAGCTCTGTAAAAGCGATATGATATTGTAAATATATTTTTAATAATGAAAGACTTACAAATGCAATAAAGAACAATACTTTTTCCCTTTGGAGCTTGAATCTCGCAAAGTTCATAATGTAAATTATTGTCACGCTTAACTGTACCCTCAGGTTGGGACTTAATTGGATCTCCTCGCTTATAGTTAAAAAGTACTGTTTGTTTTTTGTTTTTTCCTTTTTGTTACCCTCCCACTACGTATAATCGATTAACTTATATTTTTGAATAATTATAAAAATGCTTATCCACGCTCAATGTTTTTTCTTAGTCATCAGTAGGGTTCAAATAGTTGTTTGGTTTTGATTTATTTCTCAACTATTACTTTGTTTACATATAATGTGTACTTTTTCACAACGATAAAATGACTATACAAATTAACCTTTAGGCTAAATTAACTTTATTTTATAGTAACTATTTAATTTAATCCATGGATAGACGAGATTTATATATTACTTTTACTTTTTATTCATTGACAATACCAAAAACCAAAATAAAGTGTACTTGCACCAAAAATCATAAACAAAATTCATTTCAAATCATAAAAAAAAGTGTACAGAACTTTTTTTTAATAGACTAGAATACTGATGCCACCAATAGAATTTTCCTCAAGAGAAAATATATAAATTTTCAAAAGCAAAGCAAAATTTATTCTTTCTTGTTTGTTTTTGTTTTTTCATTCATTTTTTCTTCTTCAATTCTGAAAGGGCATAGATTAGATCTCTATAGCGATTTTGTATAATAAAATGACGAATCTACGTCTTTGCTCTTTCAGTTCTTTCATTGTCTCATTCATTATTTCATTACCTTCTTGCTGTATGACTTTGATTGTACATTGTTTATTTAAGTTTTCTTGTAGATCATTCATTGAATTTTGTCATAATAAGCTGCTTTTGCAAATATAGGATGAATTTTATTTCCCCTGAACAGCTTCTTACACTAATTCACAATGAGACAACATTCCAATCGCCCCTCGTATTTAGCTGTGACACAATGTAATGTATACATATATGAATATATTTTTGTCGAATTGAAACTGTCCTTTTATAATTGTAAATAGTTTGAGATATAAAAGGCGGCAACAGATTAAAAAAACAAATTATAAAAAACTAAGAACATTTGTCAATATCTTTCAAACTTCCTAGATAATTTAATCAAAATTAAGTGATAATAAGATAACTAATTCTGATCTGTTTCAAATTGTCTTCTTAAATTACATTTCTTTACATAAATTAAAGAAGAAAAGTGTACATATTAAAGGAAAAGTTAAAATATTGTTGATTTGTAAAGTGCATATATATTTTTATGAAGAGAGCCAGATTTTGGGAAGAGGTTTAGGAAAATGTTATATTGCGTATACAGATTGGCTTCTATAGATATATCAGGAGTTTTGTTATTTCTATTTAGGCAATTCGTACAGTTAAGGCCTAAAAATTGTACATATGTAAATAACTATGGATATTGTTGTTTTGTATATACAAGTGCCCTTTTATTAAAATGTAAAATGAAATTTTGAAATATTGTCTGGCATTCTGTTTGAATTAAGTGAAGAGAAAAATGCATAGATTCCTACGTAAGTGTTTTTATGTGTTAAAACTGCTACATATGAACTGACAAAAATTACAAGGACTATAATGTAATAAAGTGCTCAAAGAGTCAGAATATAACTTTGGGGAATGGTATTTTCATATTCCTAACTTACAAAATTATAAAAATCAAAAGCAGTGTATTTGTAAATAAATCAAAAAAAAAGTTTGTAATACCTTTATGCATGTTATGTTAGATGAATTGTATATATATTTATGCTCTATGCCAAACAAAAAAAAATTATATATATAAAACAAATTAATAATAATTACCATACATAAATGTTTACTGTATAATATAAGAAATGATTTACAGTAATTTTAAATATTTTTGTCTTTTAATAATGTGGAAAAATGAGTGTAATTGCATTTTTTAATGTATATTGTATAAATTACTCAATAAAACAGTGTAACAATAAAAAAATGAAAAGCACTATTGTTTGCATTTATTTTCAATCTCTCTTAAAAACAGTGATGGGAAAGACAAGGCTGAGAACGAAATTTTATAATAAATACCTTTGGTTTATTCTTTTATTAAAAATCTAGCACTAGCACAACCTAACAACAGATTTAAGGAGAGTTGGGTTCTAGCCTATAAAGTTAAGTTACTTAAAACAGATTCTACAGCTGAGGAAGTCAGCATCCTCAGTACAGCTCAGAAACTAGACTGACTGGGCATACAGGGGAATAAGAACGACCCTCATTGCTGCTCAAGAAGTCCTGAATCTACCACCACTACATATTCTTAATCCAGGGAGAAGCTAGTAGCACAATTCACAGGCTCCAATAGCCTGCCTGCATAAAAAGGAGCAATTAATACGCCAGGAGAAACTTCAGGTAAGCAACAGGGGATATCTGTTGAAGCCATGATTCCAAAATCAGATTTGTTGAGAAATTTCAAATTAAAATACCCAATAAATATGGTACATAGGGCAGAGAAGCTGATAAATTAGCCAAGAAGTTCGTTGAGGCCACTTATCAGCCAAGAACCCAACACATCACATGAGAGGTTGTGATAAGAGTCTAGTCAGATTCAAAATAGTAAAACGTTTTTTCGTAGTCTGAATAAGTACCACACTGGCTCTTTTTTTAAAATAAACTGTTATAAAATATTAATGACTGACGACCACTTTTTTAACCATTGCGTTAACTCACCTGAGGAAGGATTAAAATAAATCCGAAACGTGGATAAAAACTGGTTGTGGTTTTTTTTGAGATGACCTATCATCAAGAAGGAAAAATCATAAGAGTAATATACAAGGTTGTAGTGAGGCTGAATCATTTTTGCCCATAACCTTACCCTTAACCTAATCCTTGGATGATAAAATCATAAATAAAAAGTTAACATGACAATCATGATAACAAAATGTCAGCTTGACAACCTGTTAAAAATTAACTTATGATGAAGTGTAAACAATCACTTTGGGGGCCCCAACTGGTTTAGGCATTGACATGGTGCTCATCACTGTGAGGTAAAGGTCCAGGGTTCGACCCAGCAGCCCTGCATTCAAACCCGACATACTTACAAATGTTTTTTTTTTTCAAAAACATCTGCATTACAAGGGGTCATATAACCTCGTAATTCAAATATCCTCGTTATAAAAATTTAATTTTTTTTTAAACATTGCAGAAGTAGATATTATCAAGAAGAAGAAGGATATATATTGGTGCGGAAGCCTGTGCAGGCTGAGATTACTACTCTTGAGAGAGGAAAAACCTAGAAAAAGCTAGAAGCGTAGGAGCTTTCTCAAAGTTTTGAGAACTACTTAAAAGACTTAAGCTTAGCAAACAGCTCTAGATAATAATGAAAGTTGCACGATAGACCAATACTGGTCATTGTGTGTAAGGTCCCCCTTTTAACCTTAACATTAACATTAAGGGTGAGAAAATCTTAAATAAAAATTTAACACGAGAATCCTTGCGATCTGACTGACAACCTGTTAAAAAATTCATCTGTGATAAAGTTAAGACAATCTCTACAAGATTTATTCATTTTTGTGTTTTTTATTATTGCTAAACATTTTATTTTTCTCATAAACTTGCTACATTTTTGCTGTACTCGGAGTGGCTGATGTTTATATTTCACTAGAGATATTACAAAACATAATATGAAATAATGTTGCTGGTTTCCTTTTTAAATTTAAGTGTTAAATTAAAAATTGAACAAAACTTAAAGTTGAAGTTTTTATTACTAAATCCCTCATGAACCTGAAATTCTTAATTAAAGTCTTGTCTGAGTACATTTACATTATGCGTTATTTGAAATGGTTGTTATGTTCCACCTTGTACCAGCCAGTGTTTTAAAAAATTAAAGTTTCAGTTAAATAAATAGTTCAGCTGAGTCAATAAAAAAACAAAAAACAAGAATGAAATAAAAACAGAAATGTAAATAAAAACTTTCAACTTAGCCGTTCTTTGCTTTGGATTAAAACTGTTTGTAAACATCATTTAAGAAGATCTGTGAGGTGTGAGAACTTTAGCTTCACGTAGAAAATGGGGGTTTTGATCCAAAAGATAAAACAATAAGTTGGTCTAAAGAAAAATCAGACAGAATGCCAACAATGAAAATTGCCCTATTGATTTTTTTTGCACTGTCTGTTTGTTTCTAGGCAGAGGCTGTTGCTAACGCAGAGTGGAAAGGTTACACTGAGCTATACTAAATTTACCAAAGGGATACAATGATTTTCTAGATTCTGGGAGACATGGAGAACTATGAAGTTATAGGGAGGATTGGCGAGGGTGCGCATGGCTATGTCCTGCATGCCAAGAACAAGACCGAGGACAAGGAGGTCGCACTCAAAAAAGTTCTAGTGAAGAAGCTTGAGGAAGGCATACCTAGGCTCATACTGAGGGAGATCAAAACAATGCAAGCCCTAGAGTGCAAATATGTAATAAAATTGAAAACAAACAATGCAAACTTGTAAATAAAAACCTTAATTTCAGATTATGAAATTGATTGAATATTTCCCTCAAGGAGCTGGAGTTATAATGGTTTTTGATTACATGCCTTCTGGGCTTTGGGAAATGATCCACGACCGGGAGGTAGAGCTTGACCAACCGTTGATCAAGAGCTATATGCACATGTTGCTCCAAGGGCTTTCCTACATGCACGAGAATAACATCATGCACAGGGTAAGTGTGCGCAGATTTAAAAGATTCTCAGATCTGTGATGAATAAAATATTTCCGCTTCAGGATTTGAAACCAGCGAATCTGCTTATCAGCAAAGAAGGAATTTTGAAGATAGGAGATTTTGGTCAGGCTCGCTTACTCTGGCTTGAAAAGGACAGAGGCAAGCCTTATACACAGCAAGTATCGACGAGGTGGTATAGGGCCCCGGAACTGCTCTATGGAGCGAGAAAATACTCAGAGGCTATCGACCTTTGGGCAGTCGGATGCATATTTGCTGAAATGTTCACAAAATCTCCTTTGTTTCCTGTAAGTACAATTTTTTTCCATCTTAATTGATTAATTTAAAAAACATAAATCTATTCAGCTACCACATTTCATAATATGAATCTGCTGGCCGTGCATATTGCGATATCATTTGATATTCATATCATTCTGAGTCAACAGTAAACATTTTATCTCCTTTAACATTGATAATTTAATCATATTTATCATGTTGAAACCAGTTAATTACATTATTATGATTTATATACATTAGTCAGTGAGCCAAACTAATTTAAATAAAAATTATATAAGAAATAATATAAACTAATTTATATTCATGAGATATGTGTTAAGTTTTCTTCCCAAAACCGAAAACTTATACACAAATAAGCAATTTACAAGGCTAATGTTAAAAGGTTTTTTTAAATAATTTTGCAGTCATTTACAGAAACCCATTTGTATTAATTAATATAACCAGTGGTAATGAAGGCAGTCATTTGGTTGTTAGCGATCATTTTGGACTGCCTGTCTTTGCTGATCAGATTGTCAGACGCAACACTGAGGATCCAAAATGATCGGTGACAATCAAACTAATATAAACTGTTATACTTCTATCAATTATGTCAAGAAAAGAAATTATGAACTCATTTTACACATGTACATCGCTCAGTTTTTTAAAATTTAGTTCATTAAGTTGGCTCAATGTACAAGTTATGTATTCCAAAATGGTTTCCAAGTTGGTTTCATTGTCAAATTGTTCATCTTTATGCCTTTCAAATTAAGTACTGTCATGAAAAGAATACATCTGAAAGTTAAAGCTCTTAAAAGGAATATAACGATTAACTGTTTATATTTTGTTTAAATAAATTTAAAGTTGTTTATTGCATTTTGGTGCATAATATTAAAATAGATCTGATAACCATTCTAGCCACCACAAAGTCAATAAACATAAGTGGCAAAATAATGTTAACTAGCTGAAGCATATTTCAGTAAATAATTAATGCTTATAAACCACAAATTGAATATTCTCACTTTTGTCTGATATTTCACAATAATTTGATTGTTTTTCTATTTAATAATTTATCCAAGGAAGCCAGGGCTCATACGATAAACAGACACAAATTAATCAGCGCAGCCTGTCAACTAGCCTCCTTCACAACGAAGGTGAACACTAAGAAATAAAAGCAGATTGTAAGCTAGAGGCAATTAAAACAGAGCAATTATTAACTTAATACCCTTTTCCCATATAAGACCACTCTACATCTTTTATGGGAATATTCTGGGGCTTAGAGGAATGAGATAGATCTGTGCAGCAATATTTTTTAAATGGCAAACATTTATTATCAAACACATCATTATTAGTCCTTTTTGAAAAGATGGTTCCTACTCACATTTAGTGTCCCAACAACTGTGTGTTAGTGTCATTTGACGTTACTAATTTATTCACAAATATCCCCATTGAAGAATGTACTAAACTCATAAAACAAAAACTTACCGAGAATTCTATTAACGAATTTGTAAAAAATGATATTATAGACCTCTTAAATATATGCCTACTATCGAATTATTGTAAATTCAATAGTAAATTTTACCAAATGAAAGGTTACCAATGGGGTCTCCATTTTCCCCACTTTGTGCCGAAATATTCATGGATAATTTTGAAAAAACCTGTTCAAATCAAAAAACAAATTAATTAAATCTGTTCATTTTTGGAAATTCTATGTAGATGATATTCTATGCATGTGGTTGGGAACTTAGAGGATCTCGAAGAATTCCTCCAACTAATTAATTCTCTACACCGTAAAGAATTAATAATCACATTTTAATGTAATATAAATTTTATATTGGAAATTAACAAAGATGCTTGTTTGAACTTTTTAGAATTGTCCATAATAAACAACCTAATAGAAATAGATGTATATAGAACTTAATGTGAGTAGGAACCACCTTTTTAAAAAGGATTGAACTCCACACTCACCCCATCATTTATAATTTCCATCATTATTAGTGTACTGTGATTGTTAAATATTTGCTGATATCATAACTATATTTAAACCACATTCCCCTCAAAAATTTTAAAAATTGCAACACCCTGAGAATTTTTTATCCTGTGACTGAACCTTTATCTTTTTTTTGGGATTGTCCCGTGTTCGATTAGATTAGGTGCAGACTTCTTACTGGCCACTCAAGGAGTTCAGGAACTTAGCGTAAACAAAGAGTTAGAGCCTAAAGAAAGGCATAAAAAGCACTACATAATCTTACAAGATAGGATCATCTCTACATATTATATTAGAACATTTAAGGCTCCCCTTTGGATTGGTACCACTTTAGAACAAGACAAACACCCACCCTTCCAAATTTCACTGTTTCTGTGTTGCATTGATAGTTTCTTTCTATGGTGTTCTGTGGTGATAAAGATGCCATTCACGAGCCTTCTCAATCTAAGGTTTGGCCCTCAACCTTCTTCCAACAGTTGACTAAAAAATTGAACCCCCCATTCCAGTGATCATATATTTTTAATGCCAGTTGTTGAAATGTGCTTCCAGATAGGTGGCATTTTAATAAAACAACCGTTTGAGGAATTTGTGATTCTGGGACGACTTGAGAGCTGTCTTGACTCCCAGTCTCCCAGTACCTTTTATTTGACCTTAATGAATGCTCAGGCAATTAGTGATGTGGCACAATGCTTCTTCATGAAAAGTATTGACACAAACAAAATTAGTAGAGAGTGGAATCGGTGGCTGCAACCGTTTAGGTGTTGACGCAGCACTCATCGCTGTAAGGTAAAGGTTAGAATCCATCGGCCCTACATTCGAACCAGACATACAAATGGGCTTTTTTTTTTAAACACTGGCACCCCGAGGGTTCATATAACCTCGTAGTTGAAATACCCTCAACTACTCAAGGTAACTAAAAACTACCATGTAAAAAAAAAAAAAAAAAAAAAAAAAAAATTTAAATGAAAAATTAATAGGGTAAATAAAATACCAATAAAAGAAAAACAACCTTATTTAAAGCTGAACAATCTTTTAATTGAGTAATAATAAATTGTTATCTTCTTTGCTGAATTTATCTCTGGACAACCTTTGATCTTTTTAATCTCTTAGTCCGCCATGCTGTCGAACTGAGTATAATATTTTTAAACGAGTATTGTTTGTGGATGAAAGTCTAAATTTGTCCCAAAAAAATTGTTAAATTTATATATTGTTTAGTATTATCACGGTGATAACACATAATTATTAAGACTGTTTTGATTCGAATGACCAACAACTGAATTTATTTGCTGCTCACCACTATTCCTGCAAACATGTGGAATTTTTGCATTCTATTAACAATAGCTGTTCTCGGGACTAGGTAATTATAAACAATTAACAAACACACACAGTCTATTGTTTTGTTTTTAATCTAAAAACAACAAATTTAATATCTGCTGCTTTCAGCAATGCATTTCATCTTAATTCCACTCATGACAATATCGTAGAAATCAACGGCTGCCAGACACTAAAAGACGAGTGGAAATGCTGTGAAACTAGTCTCAAAATCGAAAAATTCAAACTGACCGGTAACATTAAAATGTCCCTTTACAAGACAAAAAGAGTCGTTTTCTTTTCTTTTCTTGTTTTTTCTTAATTATAGCCTGCGTGGATGTTAAGCTGTTAAGGAAAAATATGGGCATGGAACTCTCTATGACCATTAACAACTATACTATTATTGATGAAGAAATCTCAGGTAATTATTGGAATGAATTGCAAGGAATTGAAAGAATTTTAGAGTTCAATTTTAGCTAGGAACCCCCCGCCAATTTGCACTCATGTACCCTACATTGAGGATTTAGTTGAGGCCTGTGTTAAATTTTATAATATGGATTGGGAGAATCAAACACTCAGTGGATGCTTGGCATTAGAAGCAAAATTAGTGCATCTTAAAAGTTTAGATTTAAAAATTGGTTGTTTTAAATTTCCCTTGACCATGGATGTAAGTATAATTACTTATCTCAAATTTTTTAAAAACTACAATTTCGATTAATAACAACATTTTTCTTAGGAAATATCCAAAAGAAAGTTTTTCTTAAAGAAGTTGCTTGACAAATACAATAAAAATCTGGTACAGGTCATCTATTAAGTCAAATGTTATTTTTACCAAATTGTCTTCATGAAATTAGAAACATGTATTGTAACAAATATACCTGTGTTTATATAGCGTCAGTCTCTCAGATATTTTCACTTTACATTAGATTCAATGTGTAAAAAAATATGTACTAAACTCCTATGCCTTATAACTGTATTTATGCACTGGCTTCCTTGTTAAAAACTGTTTTGTTTATTATAGTTAACAAAGTGAGAATGACATTTTTGATAATAAGTTAATTAATTAACTTGTTACATTTCAATAACAATACTGCACGATAAGGCCAAATAAACAATCATTTGCAATAACAAAAACTCAGCCTATTTGATGTTTTAAATAAAATTATTTATTGCTGCTTAATATTACGTACGTTTTCTAGTCTAAAGTTTGACATTTATTATAAAGTACGCCATAAGGTTCAAGATTTAATAAAATAACCACCTTCTCATAAATAAGTCTAAGCAAAAAAATAATCAAACATTTAAATGTAAAGTAGTTTTAAATTTAATTTAAAAAATGACTATTTCTTCCAAGTAGTTGATTCATGCAGTTGCGCTTATTGAGGTTGGGCAATTTGGTATGTGTTGAACCAGCCCAGGGTCACTTACCCACTTGCGTCTTTTTTGAGTTATTTAAACGTGTTTCGGCATTGCGCCATCTTCAGTGAGGAGCCATCATCAACTCTAATTTGGTATGTGGTTAATGTAAAGTAAAGCCCATGGAGGTGACACTTTTTATTAAAAACGTATTTGTTTAAGAAATAATTTTTTATTTACATTTTATGTTTGATTAATCTTTAATAAAATTAGTTAATTTAATATTAAATAGATTAATATTTAATTAATTAATACCTTTGAATAAAATGTGAATATTAATTTTAGAGTTGATAATTAATTCTAATAATTAATTAACTTTAGAATTAATTAGTTTTTAGATTAATTTTAATAAAAATAGCATCTACCTCAGATTGATTGAAAACAATTGTTCTTCTTACTAATTGTTTTTTCTCAGTTATACAGATTTTAAGCACACAAGTGTCAGTCCAAATAAATCCTTAATTAGTCTTAATATAAACAAGTATTTAGTTGACTCAGACCCTTACTTTTGGTCCAAAGCCTGCTTATATGCCCAACATGCAGAGAAAAGTTGCTCAATGTGTCCCACATAATCAAAGGGTATCATTCCTAGGCTCCATCTAGGGAGAGAGTTATGCTGCCCAATATAAGAATTCTGCTCGAACACAGCAGCGAATCTTTGGGTCCCCTATTCTGATTTATAGAGGAAACGGGTAATTCTGTATAAATAGGTAATCCTATTGTTGTATATATATTAAATTTGGTGATAGATATTTTGTTTCATTAAGCGTTTAGATATACCCCATTTCTCTTGTCGTCTATAGAATAGAGCATATTGGAGAACAGGCTACACAGGTCTGACTCAATAAAATCGTCTCATTCCATCACCAGCGTACTAATATCACATATATTTTCAGGTAAATAAATTTCTAGAAAATCCAGTGCGAATGTGTATGTGTGAATGTATGTGAAGTACAAGTGTGTCAGTGGTGGAATATCAAGTACCCTCAATCAGACTAGATATTGTAAGTAGTGTACATAGGTTAAAATTGCATGCTTTTGGTGCAAAAATGATCTTGTTGTCAATAGCCCCTTGAGTGTCGATGGTGGTACAGATAAGTGCAAGGTCTGACAAAACAGCAATGGGTGATTCTCACAGCTTGCCACAAGAAGTCATTAGTTCAGTTCTGCACATATGTGTTCACAAGTTCATATATGGGCATAAATGAGCCTATATAATTATAAATTTAAAAAAAAAATTTAATTAGCCTGATGATGAGTACTAGTGCTCAAAATCTAGATAACTGAGAAAAACATTATGTGAGCAGAACTCCACTTTAACTATTTCTATCTGCCTACAAAATTTCAGCAAAAGATTTCATTATACAGGGTGTTACAGGGTTAAAAATCAATATTGTCATGGTGGATTCACTAAACAAAATGTAGTTCAGTGCCACCAGAACAAGGTTTCTATCTTTACTCTTTCCTGAGATATTAATATTTTTGTTATTTTAATCTAAAATCAGATTTTTTTTTACATAAAATTGTAATTTCTCAACTTTTATTAAAATACAAATCTGACCTTTATTGTGCAAACTACATTAAATTTTCCAAAAGATAACATTTCAGTTGAAAAATTCACACTTCAGAATACTCAGTAGCCGCTCAAAGAATAACAAATGGCAAAACCAAAAAAAGTTGGTAATGCTGGCCATGCCACGAGAAGAATGTATCTAATTTTTGTTACCAATAATAAATGTTTTTATTAAAAATATGACATGTGTGATGTTCTTGGTGTGCTGCTCTCCTTGGGCTCAATATCACGTTTTTCAACCTTGCAAGGAGATTTCACTAAGGAAAGTTCTTAAAAATGTAAAACTAAATATGTCCTCGGAATACTTATAAAATAAGGCAACATTGATGAAATTCCCGGAAATTTTGATGGAAAAGTCATTGCATGAGCCACAATTGAGTATTTAAAAAAAAAAAAAAATGGGTTTTGCCATTTGTTATTCTTTGGGCAGCCACTGTGTATTCTGAAATGCAAATTTTTCAATGGAAATGTTATGTTTTAGAAAATTTAATGTAGTTTGCAAAATAAAGGTCAGATTTGTGTTTGAATGACAAAATTGAGAAATTATGATTTTATGTTAAAAAATCTGATTTTAGACTAAAGTCACAACTGTTAATATTTCAGGAAGAGACGAGACAGAAACCTCATTCAACTATGTTTTATTTAGTGAATCCACCATGGCAGTATTGACATTTAACCCTGCAACACCTTGTATAATTCTGAAATCAAATTGGTACCGAGGTTTATTTTATTTAAATCTAAATGATGAATGAATGCTATTGTAGAATTATTAAAATGTTTAGCAAGGGTAGTAATTTGTTCAGTATGAGAGATTCAAAGACTTTAGCTGGTTGGATGCACATAAGTCTGTAGTTCTGAAATCCGATTTCTCTCCTGATTTGAAAATAAAAAATAAATAGGAAAGTTTAATAGCATTATCCAATTCTACATGCTGGAATCTATCCTGGAATTAGGAATGGCTAGATTCTTCAATTGTTGGAAGAGCATGCATACATTCCATCATACTACATTCAAAACCTCATAAATCAATCCCACGTCGAATGGCAAACAGAGATCAACACAAGAGGAGGAAATACTCTGTACTGAATTTTCTTCATTGTTTCCATAGCAACATTTTTGGTAAAATTGTTTTACTCAGTTTAATTTTTTATTAAGCTATCTTATATTTTTATTTAAAAATATCCACTAAACCGTAATAAATGAGAATTACAACGCTTGCAAGTATTACTTGTTGACAAGTATTGTTGTCCTCGGTGTATTATTATGTCTTACTTCAACTATTATTTGTTATAAATTTTATAAATGTATTTTTTTTTGTTATTTATTCCGGGGTTTATTATATCTTTCTGCTTATCTTTCATAATATGGTTTCATCCGTCAATTATAAATAATTAATATTTTAAAGTATATATTATTGTCATAATTGTTTTGTATCTTTTATTATTACTATCGCTGTTATTATTATTTTATTATGTTTATAAAACTTAATTCATTTTTAATATAAGTACATGTAAGGGAGCTTAAAGCCCTATTTGTACCTTTAAAATAAAGTCTCATAAATAAATTTAATTGTAAATTTTAATTTACTTCGTAAACTATTACTTTTCTACATAAAAAAAGGGTATGCTACTTGTTAAATAAATAAATGTATAAATTTAGTGAAAAGGGAAATTTGAAAGCGCAATTACACTAGTGCACACAGAAAGTGTGGGTCCCTCATGGAGGTGATAGTACTGTTTCTTCCATGCTACCGGGGTATCTACTACTAAATCAAGTGGTGTTTTTTTAAATAACTTGTTTAACTGTGATTCTTTTTGTATGTATTTGTTTTTTCTTTTTTTTAAACCAGGATAATATTTGATAATTTGATGTGTTTAATATGAGTCTCCTCCGAACACTTTCAAAAAGGAGACTTTTCAAAGAAAGGATAGCCGGCTCGTGGTGTTCTAGTAGCAGGTATTCAACAAGCAAAAACGGAAATGTGGACATCGAATTTGGAATCGATCGTGCATCACTTCGCATCGGGGTCAGCGAGTTCGCCGGCTTCGCGGACGGCTGTTGTGTCGCCGGACTTGGTGACACTTCAGTCATGGTGACAGCAGTGAGCAAGGAAAAACCGTCTTCAACCTCTTTTCTACCTCTCACGGTTGACTACAAACAGAAGGCGGCCGCAGCCGGCAGGATCCCGACCAGCTCCCACCGTAGGGACACCTATTCAGAACAGGAGATCCTAGTGAGCAGGTTGATTGACAGGTCATTGCGACCTTTATTCGCTTCAGACTACTTTTACGAGACGCAGCTGATCTGCAACCTCCTTGCCCTAGATGGTATCAATGATCCTGAAGTGCTTTCCATTAATGCAGCTTCTGCTGCGCTCAGCTTGTCTGACATACCTTGGAATGGCCCTGTAGGCGCCGTCCGGGTCGGGCTCCAGGATGACACTGTCATCCTAAACCCAACGAGAAGGGAACTGTCTAACAGTTCGCTTAATATGGTTGTGACGGCGGCAAATCAGAACCTAGTCATTATGCTTGAAGCCTGTGCGAATAACATTTTACAGCCGGATTTCCTCAAAGCAGTCAAAACAGCCGTTCAAGAGTGTCAAAAGATAGTACATGGGATATCGCAACTGCAGAAACACCATGGGAAAAAAAAGAGACCTTTCGAGCCTAAGGAGTTAGATGAAAATTTGTTAAACACAGTAAAAAGTGAATCAGAGTCGATACTAAAAGAAATTTTCCAGGATTTCTCTCACGATAAACTCTCAAGGGATAATGCAGTGAAAGAAGTCAAAGTCAAAGTGATTGAAAAAATTCGACAGGAAAGGCCTGAAGTCAGCATAGAAACCTTAAACGGAATGTTTGATTTGGTGTGGAAAGAGACATTTAGGTCTCTAGTGCTCCACACAGATGTGAGATGTGACGGTCGAACTCTTACACAGCTCAGGCACATAAGGTCGAATGTAGACATGTTCAAACCTCTCCATGGTTCTGCATTTTTTCAAAGAGGTCAGACACAAGTTTTATGTACGGTCTCGTTAGATTCGATAAATTCTGCACTTCACATGGACCCCATTACAATGCTGACTAGCGGGTTGAAAGAAAAAAACTTTTTCTTGCATTATGAATTTCCCCCTTATGCAGTGAAAGAGGTCGGGAGGTTGGGTCCCGCAATGAGAAGGGAGGTTGGCCATGGGGCTCTTGCAGAGAAGGGCTTGAGAGCTATCGTACCAAGTAACTTCCCATTTACAATACGTCTGACGTCTGAAGTTCTTCAGTCAAACGGGTCATCATCTATGGCGTCCATCTGTGCTGGCAGCTTAGCACTCCTTGACGCCGGTGTCCCCATTACCAGCCCTGCTGCAGGTGTAGCAATCGGTTTAATAACCAAGTACGAAGGGAACGATACCAAACATATCCAAAACTATAAAATACTTACTGATATTCTCGGCATTGAAGACTACATGGGTGACATGGATTTCAAAATCGCCGGTACAAAAAAGGGAATCACTGCACTACAGGCTGATATTAAAATCCCAGGCCTGCCTCTGAAAATCGTCATGGAGGCCATTCAAGCAGGTTGGGAAGCCAAGTCAAAAATCATAGATATAATGAATTCAACGATCAGCGAACCAAGAGAGGAAAAGAAAATCTCATGGCCAGTAACAGATGTCTTAGATGTACCGGTTCACAAAAGGGGAAAATTACTCGGCCAAGGAGGTATTCACCTAAAACAGCTTTTCATCAATAACGGTGTTCAAGTTACCTTCCAAGAAGAAACAGACAACTATCAAATTTTTGCACCTAACCAGCTGGCAATGGACGAGGCCATGGAGCAGATATCTACATGGCTCTCTCAAGAGAAAGAACCCTTATTGGAATTCGGTGCTATTTACACTGCCAAAATCACAGAGCTCAGGGAAAATGGTGTCATGGTCACACTTTACAACAATATGCGTCCAGCGCTCCTTCACAATAATCAGCTCGACCAGAGAAAAGTCAGTGACCCCAGAGTCCTTGGATTCGAAGTTGGCCAAGAGATTCAAGTCAAGTTTTTCGGGCATGACCCTGTATCTGGGCAAATGAGACTTTCGAGGAAGGTCCTCATGGGTCCTGCCTCCAGTTTAGTTCAAAACTTGCAGAAAACTGATAGCTAGTCTTTAAATTTAAACATAAAACTTACAATTAGACTTGTACATATTTAGTGTTGTTGTATATATATTTTTTTTAAACAATTATGAATAAAAAATTTGATGGCTTATTTGTAGTTACTCCTTTGTTGTTTTTTATAAGTATCAATTAATATGAATTTTTTCCCTGAGAATTTAGGCTTAAGTCAAATAGAACCGTAATTGCTTAACCCTAAACTTCTATCAGAACTTTTAAATTTGACCACTATGATCATTTCTTCTGGTTTTTGACAGTAACCTAAAAGTTTGTGATATACATATTTCTAAGATATAAAGTTAAATTGTTCAAACTGCTCTGCTTATTAGCCCCAGTTAGATGATATCACAGTTGACCCATCTGGCAAGCGCAGTTTTACTTATGATTTATAATGACCACTAAAGCGAAGGTCATGGTTTCATTGTGAAATTTCTCCTTGAATCTACAGAGAAATTATCCTTAATTTGGCCATTATCAGTCATTACTAGTGTGCTCATACTCACTGGTTGTACACTCAACCAAGTTTGACTGACCAAATCCAATTAGTTTTTCTAACTTGCAGTCACATATTTTCTTCACTTCAAGGAAAAACATTAAATCATGGATAATAATAATATTTTATTTGACAATTATTATAAATGAAAAATATACCCATTTAAAAAACAAGTATTTGCAGCAATTGAATATCCGTCTGCTTGGAGTCAAGATTACTGATAAAAGATAATAAAATAGCCAATAAAATATAATATTCTTTGTTTTCTAACATAATTAGAAAGAAAGTAAAATGTAAACTAACCCTAGACTGATATAACCTAGCCCAACCTGTGCACAATTGCAGACTAAATGTGAAAAATCGTTGAACTTTTACACCCATTTTTTGCACTTTTTTAAGGGTGAGACTGACATCGACCAATTGGCATTGGTGATAAAAAATTTGGGGACACCAACTGAGGAGAACTGGCCAGGGCACACGACCCTTCCAGACTTCAATAAAATTTCATTCGCACCGACGAAAGCAGTCCCTTGGTCAAAACAGTTGCCAGACGTCCCCGCCACGGCCATCGACTTGATCAAGTCATTTGTCAAGTACAATTCGCGAAAGAGGATGACTGCTAAGGAGGTGATGAGTACTGCAAAAATTTTCTATCCTTTGTGTATTGTACGATAACCCTTGCCATATTTCAGGCCTTGTCACATAAATATTTTTCAACGCCACCGAACCAAATCAAAGAAGTGGATTTGCCCAGGCCTCTCTACGACCACCGACTGAGACTTAAATCAAAAGACTTTGACTTCTCTCCGCCCCAGGAAATTTTCCAAGGTTTCCGTTTTCTGCTTGATACTGTACCCTAAGTGTTAATATTATAACAGAACAAAGATTTTTTTTTTAAATCTGCCCACAGTTTTGTTAAAAATTATCTATGCATTTAATTAAACAAATCAACATTATAGGATTTTCTTTAATCCCTAATCCTTATTCTGAACCCAAATTGAACATTTTAATTTCAAACACCCATTTTGTGCAGATATACTTAACTGCTATCAGGTTTAAAATATTCAAAAGCTCCTGGTCCACCTATGAATTTTACAAAAACTCTCCACCTATATTCCATGACAAAATGTTATCTTTTTTAACTACCTTTACAATTTTCTTCAATGAGTCACTAATTTAACACTGTTAAAAAAAGTTATATCGATGACTTCTAATTATCGTGGCATAATCATAATTATAGTGGCTTTTTTAGATACCATTGCAGAAAAATTTTCAGCCCTCATCTCACACCGTTAGACATTTTATAACTGACAACTTACTGAGTGCCGAGCTTGATTCTGTAGAGAGTACTCCACATAATAATCTATACCCTTGGCAGTATTATTTATCTAAAACTTTTATCAGTCATCAGACGCTATATAGTTTTTCATTGATTTTAAGGCTGCTTTTGACAGTGACCAAAATGTGCTGATCTATAAATTATTCAATCTGGGAGAGTTGTCCAAATTAATTAACATCATTACAATGTTTCGGATAGGTCAAAGAGAAAATTTCAGATTTTTCCCTATAACTTGTGGGATTAAGCAGGGATGCGTTTTAAGTCTCATCCTTTTCTTCCTCTTCATTGATGATAACCTTCCCTCTGTATTAAAGTCTCACTGAAGTTAAAGCTTATTAATGATGATGTGTTTTTCATAGTTGACAATCGAGTAGGTTTACCAGTGCAACATAAAAATATCAGAAAGATATTTTGATAAATGGAATTTGACTGTTAACCTTTCCAAATCTAAGGTGGTAATTTTTAGAAAGGGTGGCAGACTTGCCCATACTGACAGTTTTTCTCACAAGGGATTACCTAATGAAACTGTAATCACTACAAATATCTTGAAATTACACTTGTCATCTTGTCTCTCCTTCTAATTTGAAGCAGGTGTCTCCTGCAGCTAAAATGGGATTTAGCAGAATTTGGGCTGGCTCAATGTTAAATTACAACATCTCATTGAAAGCTAAAACCAATGTATGTAATGCTGTCGTCTCTAGGTCTGTGCCATTCTTTGCATGCCAAGTTTGGCGATATCAACAATATTAAGTAATTGAGAAATGTCCGAGATTTTTTATAAAAAGCTTTTTGGCCTCCCCTCCTAGCTATACAGGGAGTCCCAGTTCCTGCTGACTAAACTCAGGGAATCGATTCTACTCTTCGTTTGGAGCAAAAAATGCTCAGGAGAAAATTTTCGGAAAGTTCTCTATTTTGAAGATATTCGTCAATTTAGGTTTTTTCAACTTTTCACTACCTTACCACATAAAAACGTTTACAATTTCCAAAAAGTGGAGCCTTCAACAAATCCAATTACACCATTTGAAAGAACGCTAAATTTGCTGTAAGATACTTCTTTGCAATAATCTGAATGACATAAAATGTTAGCCAATATCAGTTGGAACATGTCAAAATTACAAAAATTTTAAATTTTTGTCATGATTGCACATTCTACTGAGGTTACAAAAAAATACCTACAACTTGTCAAATCTTACAAAAACTTTTTCATCTAATATGCTTTATGTTGATATAACCAAGTTTTTAAATAACGTTCTAGTAGAGTTGAAAAATAACAACTGAATGTTCGAAAACGTGAGCTCAGGTAAATTTGAAGGGGGGGTAGAAATTCAGAAAGTCAGTTATGCATTTGAGAAGAGGGAAAACACTTTGAGCATTTCCTTTGAAAAGTTCCTCCTTTGTTGTTATGTGCTTGCTACAAGAAGAACCATTGCATTTTATTGTATGAAGCTTTCTGGTATGGTTTTTGTGAGATTACAGATGTGTCATTTTTATTTTACAAAGCGAGTTCTAATTGATTTATTTCTACCCCCCCCCCTTCAAATTTACCTTAGCTCATGTTTTCAAACATTCAATTGTTATTTTTCAACTCTACTAGAACGTTATTTAAAAACTTGGATATATCAACGTAAAGCATATTAGATGAAAAAGTTTTTGTAAAATTTGACAAATTGTAGGAATTTTTTGTAACCTCAGTAGAACGTGCAATCATGACCAAAATTTTAAATTTTGTAATTTTGACATGTTCCAACTGATATTGGCTAACATTTTATGTCATTCAGATTATTGAAAAGAAGTATCTTACAGCAAATTTAGCATTCTTTCAAATGGTGTAATTGGATTTGTAGTAGTCTCAACATTTTGGAAATTATAAGCGTTTTTATGTGGTAAGGTAGTGAAAAGTTGAAAAAACCTAAATTGACGAATATCTTCAAAATAGAGAACTTTCCGAAAATTTTCTCCTGAGCATTTTTTGCTCCAAACGAAGAGTAGAATCGATTCCCTGAGTTTAGTCAGAAGGAACTGGGACACCCTGTATGTCGTATTTAGATCACATCCGCAGACTTATTGACAGTATCTACACTGAGTCTTCACTTTAATTATGTCCTGAAATTCTGAATCTCCCCGATTCCCGTTTTCTAAAAATTACTGCTAGACAATAAAACTACACATTCTGATTCTCCCACTGATATACCCTACTTTTCAAATATTCCACCCCACATGACTTAAATATTAATAAAATCTTCGATTGGAAACGTAATCTTGATCCTCTTCTTGAAAATTCATTGTCAAACACTCTGGATCAAGGTATGAACTTGAAGAAGAAAGCAAATTTAGTTACTAATACCAAGCTTTTGACCTATTTTAATGTCATCATCAGCGCAAAACAACCTTAAATATGCCTACAGATTAACATATTTAAGTTTTTACAGATGATCTCAAATTTCCTTGAAGACCGATTCAGTCCCAACATTTCCAAGGAGTAAGCGTTACAGTCCTTGGAAATGTTGGGACTGAATCAGTCTTCAAGAAAATCTGAGATCGTTTGTAAAAAATTAAATATGTCAATTTGTAGACATATTTAAGGTTGTTTTGCCCTGTCAATGACCTTCAAATAGTTCAAAACCTTGGCAGTAGCAATTAAATTTGCTTTTTTCTTCAACACCATATCTTGATGCAGTGTTCATAAGTGAAAAAGAGGTTGATACTTTTAATACTGAAAACAAAAATCAGTGTACGTCATCGTGAGTCTGTGAGGCATCATCACGTTTTTGGCTCTAAAGCAATCTTGATCATACTGTCCGCTGTCAGTTCTTGTCTAATCCTAATCAGCATCTGAATCTGGGTGATTTGCAATTCGGTTTTTAAAATGAGGTGTCAGTACTTTGGTTAAATTACACCCCACAATTGGAGGCTCTATGCTCTCTATTAACTCCAAGGTCAGAGAGAAGTGTTCCTTTCTTAGAAGAATGCAGAATTTTAAAAGAAATTCATATGCTCCACCTAGGCCGCAATTCCCTCCCTACAGATTGAAATAATTAATGGTCTAAACTTTGAACCGACCCCACTTCTAAAATATTGCAGTGTGGTGTTCTCTACAGGAGTGCAAGTGTGGTTCAGAAAAACTTGAGGGATTATTATTTCAATTTTATTAGGTTATTAATAATTATATGTGCAGAGTAAATTCAAAGCTTTCCTACCTTTCTGAGGCTTGTCGGGTCGGTCTCCTCGTCTCTCCGGCTCCTTCCGTCGATTCGTCCAAAAAATCAACCGGTGTCTTCTGCTATTTAGCACCTCAACCAAAAAAGTCAAAATCAAGAGTGAAAATGGCGCTCCGTCCTTCTTCCCGGTCCTATGTCCGTTTCTCCCACTCCCGATGGCTCGGCTTTCCATTGGTCGAACCGGCCGGGAGAGGACACGCTCAAAGGATCGGCGGATACGAGCATCTCCTTCTGGCGTGTTGTCTGTGGCACTTTTCTCGGGGTCGCCGCGGCAGATACGCCTGGCAATGCAGGTACATAGATTTATGTGTAAGAACTAAATGGTGGCCGCATCGGTTTAGGCGTTCAAACACACCTTACTGCTTGTTAAATATTTGCTATGTTTAAATTAAATGAATAGTTTATATTACTCCCTGATGATCTGCACTCTCCAAAAAAGATGTTTATATCCTGTAACCGAACCTTTACCTATCTTTTGGGAGTGTTCCGTGTTCAATTAGGTTACTTCTTACTGGCCACTCATGGGTGTTAAGGTACTCAGCATAAGCAAAGAGTTAGAGCCTAATTAAAGGCATAAAAAGCACTACATAATCTTGTAGGATCACCTCTACATATTATATTAGGACATTCAAAGCTCCCCTTTAGATTGGCACCACTTCAGAACATGATAGACTCCCCCTTCCAAATGTCATTGTTTCCACATTGACTATAATTTTTCCAGGTCTTGAAGACTCTTTCACATCCATCTAGACTGTTAAGGCCACTCTTGTCTCATTGGTGAATACATCTTTTTTTATTCCTCTATAGGCCATGATTTTTGTTCCTTTGCAAATGATAGTTTCTTTCCACAGTGTTCTGTGGTGAAAAAGATGCCATTCATGAGTCTTCTCCGTCTAAAGTTTGACCCTCAGCCTTCTTCCAACAGTTAACTACATAATTGACCCCCCCCCCAAATTCCTGTGATCATGTTTTTAATGCCAGTTGTTGAAATGTGCTTCCGGATAATTTGCATTTCAATAAAACTGCCGTTTGTGGAAGTTGTGAATTTGGGTTGCCGTCAGAGCAACCTTGAATTGCTCACAGACTCCCAGTATCTTTTAATTGTCCTTGAAATTAATGAATGCCTAGGTGATTAGAGATGTGGTACAACGATTTCCCTTCTTCATAAAAAGTAATGACGATTGGCACAAACAAAATTAACAGACAAGGGACATTGGTGGCCACAATGGTTTAGGGTCAACATGGCGCTCATCGCAATAAGGTAAAAGTACCAGGTTTGAATCCAGTAGCCCTGAATTCAAATCCGACATACATACAAATGGGCTATTTTCAAAAACGCCGGCTCCCGAGGGTTCATATAACCTTGCAGTTGAAATACCCTTGGAGAAAAAACTTAATGCTTCTATAATTTGATTTCCATTTGTTTATTATTATTATTTTTTTTTTTTACTTTACTTTCATGTCCTTGAATTTTTTCTCCTTCTTTCACTTTTTTTAGCATTGTTCTGTTCATTGTCGCTTTATTCATGTTTTCATTCACCCCTGGCAGACAGAATTTTCCATGCCATGCTGTGTATATTGTAAAGTTATTTTATTGTTTATTTTATACTGTTTATTTACTGTATTGCAACAAGTTATTATTATCATTGTAATCCATATTATTATTATTATAAAAGATTTTTATTTTTTATAGATTGTGATGTGATGGATTTTTTAGAGCAGTACTTCATCCTCGGAAATAACAAGTACCAACTGTATTTTTCAAGTTAAATTCCAATGCAAGGTATTTGAATAAAATAGTTTCTATTCCAACAATTTATTTTTATTTAACAAAACTTCAAATCTAGATGATCATAAGATGAAGAATTCACCAATCAACCTAGAATACACACAAACATTAAAAAAAATAGAATAACAGCTATAATAACAGTAATACATTTACATGATAGTATAGTAATACATTTATTTACTTAAAAGAGTATGAATAGTGCGATAAGTAAGAAGGAATAAATGTAAATGCCAAAGATGAAACAAAGAGTATTTTAGAAATATATGACGGATGAAAACCATTTCTGGTTTTTTTTTGGTTTTTTTTTTTTTTGCAATTCTGCATTTTTAATATTAATCAACAAAATATTTTAATAATTAATAATGCCAAGAAAAACTGTTTTTGCTATTTACTTTAAAAAGTACATTTCTTTTGGGAAGTAAATTACAAACATGCATGATTAACTTGGATTTGGTAAATGGTATTTTATGAGTGCGTGTCCTGTAAATATTTTTTTAATACAAAGATAGTACGGTCAAGGCAAAGAATAGCCACCAACAGGGGGAGAGCACCACCACCACTGGGACCACCCACACACAGCCGCAGCTTCTCTTGTGTTAGAAAAAAGATTTTTTTTTTAAACTAGTTTCACATAGTACTCAAGTGCATGTCATATGCAGGCTCTGGGCATCATCTGCACGTTCGTGAGTATAGGATACCTTTAACCAAGAGAGCTTGGTTCCTCCCTCCTTGCAAAAAAAAAAAAGTTAAAAATTTAATAGTTCTTCAAGTCTGTTTTCTGTTCATGATTGTTACAAACTTGAGGATAGCTCTAAAATAGGATATTTCTTCTAAAGTAGCACTAGGTATAGCCCCGACTTAAATTTATGTGTTATGTAGACATACAATTATCAGATTTCTATTATTTTAGTTTGTTATATCTTAACAATGTATATATGTTGTTACAACAAAGTTGGTGAAACAAAGTGAGTTATTAAACAATTTTGTCAATATTTTAGTACAAAAGGACGTTAGTATTTTATCAGGGACAGGATTTATTATAAATAAGAATAGGACTAAATTAATTATAAAACTGGTTATGATAGAGTGAATACTTAATTTTAAAGGCCGAATGTATGCAAAAAAATTAATTTCTAACTTTTATTCCTATTCTTTAATAAATTAAAATTTTGAATTTTTGTTTTCCCATAGGTATGTATGACCAATGATAATAGTAATAATTAATCCCTATTTGCTTAGTTGTTATAACTGACCATATTAATTATTACAATTAACCTTTTTATCTAAGCTTTTTGGTTGAGATAAAAACCTTAGATAAAAAGAATAATAGTAATAATAATGGAGTCAGACTTGCAATAGTCTCAGCATGAGTATGGGTTTATTGTTCTCCTTTTATTCTTCCATTCAAATACTCTAATGCTCCTTAAAAACAATAATAAAACAAAAACACAATAACACTTCTTTTTCTCTACGCTCTTTTTTTTGGGGGGGGGGAGCTATCTTTCCTTATTTAAATTGCTATTTTTGACATTTTAGTTTATTACCCCGCAATTTGTATTTTTCTTTTATTTCATTTTTCCTCTCCCGCAACCTCAAAAGTTCCTGAAAAAAGAAATTTTCCACACAAAACTTTCATGCAAACACTGTCAGACAAACATTCAAAGGTGTAAGAATTTTGTAAAAGGCCTAAATCTCATTATAAATTTAAGAAGGCTGAAAAGTTGAGTCCAACCAGAATCCTGGTTCGGTTGTGGTTACCTTCCAGTAATTCCGTTGTAAGTTTTCCGGATTGTCCTTCGATGAATCTCATCCCATGCCTCGAACCTGTGGTATTGTTCCACAAGGTTTTGGATTCTTTTGTGGCAGGATGCTAAGCCACAGTAGGGATCAGGACCCAGAAAGTCCATGTTGATCCCCTCTTTGGCCAACATGTCAACCCTTTCGTTGCCTCTATTCTCTGGGGACCTAGTAACTCCTTTAAAACACTCGAAAGGTTGAGCCATTGCTTAAATGATTGCAAAGTGTCAGTCGACCAAAATAAATTTTTACAGTCAGAATGATACTTCTCCACTTCAAATAAATCGAGAACAAGTTGGAAGGCTGTTGCCTATTAAACACTTATTATGCGCTAGTCTGATGTGACCTTTTCGCAATGTAGAGAGAATCACAAGTGCTTTTCACTCAAGTTCCTCAGTTGGCCATTTATGCACAACTAGCTTAATTTCTTTCATACCATCTCTACAGACATTTCAGCCCACTTCCGGTTGATAATGTTTTTTACAAAAACAATGTGTGGTTTTAAGTGACCGGTTGTTTATAATTTGTTGAAGTCGTGAGGAACGGTCAAGAATGAGATAGTTTAGAAAAACACTTTTTTCATTTTTATTTTATTTTTTGCAGCGTTTCGACCTTTATTCAGGTCATCTTCAGGGCCTGGGTAAATTACAAAACATATGTTGATTGGAAAAAATACAATTTAAGATGTAAATATAAATTTTGAACCAAGTATTTCATACTCAAATAAAGTGTGATGCTATTCTTGTGGTGTCATATTGGTTTTGTGTGAAAATGTTGTGAAACATGAATTTGTATTCTGCTGTTTTTATATGATTGTGACAGGGTGGGGGGACATTTTCACACATAACCAATATTACACCACAAGAATAGCACCACACTTTGTACCCTGAAGATGACCCGAATAAAGGTCGAAACGTCGCAAAAAAATTAAAAAGGTGTTTTTTTAAAATACCTCATTCTTGACCACTCCTCACGACTTTAACAAATTATAAACGACTATGTCGTCTGGGCGGGGAGGAAATTGATCTGTTCTTTGTAGATTGTTTGCTGCTATTTTAATTTGATTAATTATAAATTATCCTTTATAAGTTAATAATAAATTTAATTGATGATAGGAGGGTGAGTGCTGAGAGAACTTTGTTTTCTGTCATGTGCTGCCCTCTTTGAAACTAATTGAAACTAAGAGACGGCGTCACATTGAGGAGTTAAATTAAAAACGGCCAAATTTGATCTGACGGCCTTCAAAATCTTTTCCGAATTTTTCGCCCTTTCTCAATGGATCGTCCTGACCAAAATCCACCCTCGGGAAGGGCTGGAAAAGTGTGAAATTCCCGGAAAAACAGTTTCTCCCCGTCGCGTCGGCTTCCGATTGGCCAGTCGGTATAGGATGACTGTGCCAACAGCCAATCCGAGTTGAGATAAACAAAAACAAAGGCGTCCGCACTCAGCGAGCAACCTACCAAAATAAGAGTCAGTCGACGATTGACGTTTAACTGGGGGAGGCTCCGGGCCGAAGAAAGATTCAGTGCTCTTTGACCAGTGGCAGCGACTGGTATTCAATCAGAAACATTTCAAGTGGATGCCATCGAAATGACGACGACGCCTACATCGATCCCCGAGGAGACACTTGGAGGTACGTCTTATCCATTACGCACAATGACATTCCAACATCTGTTCTCTGTCATCATCCTGGCTTGTGTCTTTCTGACGGAACCTTCAGAGATGCCATGCCATGACATCTCAGTTTCGAACGATCATCAGAACGTACACGATTCGATTCTCATGTTTTTCCCCACACGTCAATATTGAACAATCCAGCTGGACGGCCAGCAATATTTCACAATATTGAAAGCGTTATTTTTGTCATTTCCTATTTTTTTGCATCATTCTTGCAGCATAAATTAAAAAAAAAAAAATCATACAAACCCTTACAATCTCAATTTCTCTAACATTTTCAAAACAAACATACGTACGTTTGTTGACAGAAGACCATTCCCGACCCAAGAAGTGAATGTTAAAATAATATAATTGTACGGAAATGTTCAGGTATATTTTTCTAGAACATTTGCTGAAATGTTCTGGCATTCCTATCAAAAACGATGTATTTTCCCTTTCTTTACTTTACTTTTGCTACCTCTGTATTGGTCTAATGTCTGTTGACATCATCTCCCTCATCCCTTTAGCTAACATCTCTCGATGCAGACTTCTTAAAAAAACAAAATGTTTTGATAGATTTATACAATAAAAAATATGTAAATATATTTTTCCTACTTTTTTTATTGGTTTGCATTTTCTTTCTCGCTGTTGATCAAATAGTCATCTAACATCTGTTCTACTGTTGACATCTTCAGATGTCATATAATCCCCCCCCCAAAAAAAAAATTAAATATTCTTAATCTTCGTTATGCTTACAAAATGTTGCTTTGCTTACAATCTTGGTTTGACGTCATTCAAGCAATATCTGACGACATCCTTTCTAGATGTCATATCATTTCATTTTTTTTATTTGAAAAATGGGTATCATAGTCAGTTACATTTTGAAATCGTGGAGTTTTTCGTTAGTTATAAAATTTTCCTCACTTTCGTGAATATTGTTTTTATTTGGAAAAAAATTAAACCATTGAAGAGATGAAACAATTTTCATGTTTTTATCTACATGAATATTTCTATATTGAATATTTCAGCTGGAGGGGAAGCAATATCTCTCGATTTAGAAAGCATAATTTTTGAGATTTCCTAATTTTGCACCATTAAAGCGTAAAATCATGTGTTGACAGACCTTTCCCGACCTGTGAAGTGAATGTGAAAATAATATAATTGTACGGAAATTATTACGGTTATTTTTCCAGAATATTTGCTGAAATGTTACGGCATTCATATTTTTAAAAAAAGTATTTTCTCTTTTTTTATTTTGTTTCTTGGCTATTAGTCTACTGTCACAACAGCAATGTCTGTTGACATCTCCCTCATTCCTTTTGATATATCTCGATGACGAAGACTTCGTTTTTCTAATAAATGGGCTGTTATGTGCTTACAATCTTTGTTTAATCATTTAATGACATTCAAGCATCTCTGTTGACATTCTTTCAAGATGTCATAGCATTTCATTTATTTGTTTAAAACTGGGTATCGCAAATCAGCTACATTTTGAAATGTGGAGTTTTTCATTTATTATAAAAATGCAGACATTTTCGGGAATATTGTTTTTATTTTCAGGATATTAAACAATTTTTTAAACCATTCCAACACGACACAATATTCATATTTTTACCTACACGACAATATTGAATATT